CAAGGAACAGTTGCTTAGCCTTCCTTTCTGGAGGCAATTATTTATATTGTTATTTTAATTTACAGTAAGCACCTTGTGCTGATTTTGTTAGTATCAGACAGATCTGAAAGCGATGGAAATAAAGATTTGAGATAAGTATTATGCGTGAAGTGGTACGATCTGGTTTTCAGTGCTGCTGTAGGTGAGGTACTAGAGTATTCAACTAAGGAGACTGACTGGCTGCAAGCATGTTTAAAGACTGTTGAGCCATTGGCAGCGAATGGACGCCAGTTGCCTTGCAAAGCGAACGCTGAAAGCGAAGCCTCATGGCAATCGGCCGCCATGAAGACATCCAGCAAGATGAGAAGATATCGTTAGAAATGGCATGACATCGAAAGGACTGAAGAGTGAGTACGCATGTATTCCATCCAAGTGGAATTCTTGTATGGCATCATTTTGTCTCCTTCGATTCCATGGGACAGGAATTAGACGAATAGAGGAAGAACAGGTAGGTCAGGGCTAATTGCAATCGAAATAAGTACACATCGGCCATAATTTCCCTCACTGTGGCGTGAGCATGCATGGAACATCCAATTGTCCTCAGTGTTCTCAGTCAACGACTTGCTGACCGTATCTTGGTTGGTTCCACTAAAGTATGGTGTGTTGAAAACTCTTTGCTCAGGGAAGCTAAGAAAGAAAAAATTTATGCCTCTGGGTGATTTGAACCCTTCGTTTTTAAACTGCGGCGAGAACTAATTACCCAGTTGAGCGTTGCCTTCTCCTTGCCGCCATTGATTTACCTTTACAGGGGACGGCTGAAGCCTCGCATGCAGTCATCTTACTTCGTACATTTGCCGTCGAAACATGCGGCAGCTGAGCTTTCGTGCCGTTGGATTTGCTTCAACGGACAGGGTTGAGAGATTCGAGTTTTGTACCCTGCTCGAGCAGTGTCAACAGTGCAGTTGACCATGTGGATTGGTCGGATCTGTAAAGCTCCGGCTACAGTAAACGAGCGTCATCCGCTTCTCGGCGGAAATGATGTTTGAAACATGCAAGGAAAACAACAAGAAAACTCAGGTACGTGGTAGCGCGCGCGAACTAGGTCATACAGTTGAAAACGACCTTGAGTGACGATCTTGCCGATCGCATGCATGATATATACTTCTTCGTGAAGGAACTGGTGACGCTTGCTTCTTGAGTGTCCACGAAGCCGAACAACACCGTTTCGTCAACAGTGTTACTGTACGTTGTTGGTGGCATAATTTAAAGCGAACAGCTGACGTCCGAACAACAGAATAGCCCATGTTTGGGATGTCTATATCGCAGTTTTGTAATGATTGCAGAAGATGGCACTGAATTTTATCATAAGACCTAATAAAGGCATCAGCTGCTAACAACGAAGAGTTAGTAGTTAGTCTTCAGTTCCATTAATTCTTTCACAACACGGCTGACTTCGTATATACTTGACCACTTCCTTTGTTTACCCTCAACGACCAATCACCGTTGAATAGCTTGCTGCAGAGTACTTCGGCCAGTGGTGCCGCTGCTAAGCACATCCAGTCATTTCGTTGGCGGTGCTTTCATCCTTCCACTTTGCGGAGCGATCGTTTTGGTCGTTTGTATTGGCGCGTTCCGTCCCCATCTTGAACCGTCCACGCTTTCGGTTGTTGGGGGGGGTGGGTTCGACTGCCTCCACGTAAGGTTGTAGGTGACCTTCGCTGGCTGATGCCCTACTGGCTACAACGTTTGCCACCGTGGCGAAGGTCATCGCTTCTTTGCTAGCGACGTGTTTTTGAGTTCTGTTTTGCCGCCAATGACCGAACTCGATTTCCTCGGGGCTGAGGAAACGCCGAGTATTTAACTGATGTTTATCATCAGGACAGATCCGAACTGCAAATGAATGTAGTCTATT